ATATTATCTATAATGGCTGATGTCAAACAAAAAGGTTTCATCAAGCTGTAAAACTAAAAAGAATGTCTTGAAAATATGACATCATAAATAATAAGAAAGTGTTTCAAGAGTGCAAAGTCGTTGAAAAACATATGCCAAAAGCTTCCGTTATTTATTTTGGTCTCTCGGCTCTCATGTCTCTTGGCTTCTTAAAAACAGCGGGGATCAGCTGTTAAACGGCTGTTGTCTTTTGCCGGGCTCCGGTGATTGACAAATCTGGGTGATGCCTTCTGATATGATTTAGCATGTTTGGCGTGTGTTACCATTAGCATACCGCACCACTGTAGAACAACGGCGACACACCGTCCTCGTCCGATCCACCACTCGCACACTTAATCGTTATTGTAGTCCACAGGGAACCCGAAATGTTCCCACACAGCTGATTTAAAAGAAGCAGGTGGGTTCTAGCTACTGTGTGTTATCTGAAATCGCCATACTAACTTTTCTTCTTCTTGTATTTTGTTCGTTTTGTTGTTGTGTTTCTTCTTGTTCTTCATTTGTTGTTTAAGGGCGGCTGGCAAACAGCTTTTAGGCGCAATACCGCCCCCTGGATTATATATAGTGTAGTGGATGACAGACTTGTTTCCCACTTGTAAAAAAAAAAGGCGTATTCGTCGTGTGACTGCGTGTGCCGAACCGTGACGTCTGAACCGTGACGATACGGGACGAATACGGATACCGTTACACCCCTAGTGGATTGTCCTGCCGAGCCAGGGAAAACCATAGGGTACAGTGGCTGTTGCACTGGTTGGCAAACAGGCCACCTCCGCTTTCCCGAACTGCCCAGATCTGCTTCACCACCTCAGGGTGAAGCAACTGTCACGGATGCCGTGATATAGGAGGTCACCCGCCCCAGTGGAGTTCCCCTCCGCAGATGCTTTGGGGACCCCCAGTATCAGAGGTTGCTCTCCACTGAGGAGGGGGGGGGGGGGGGGGTCACCAGACGTCGTTTGTGCCTCTTGGGATCTAAACGAAGGCCGGCAAACCACCTCTGCAGGCGACGCATATGCAGTAACCCCAGCGGTACCACGAGGTGAGCAGCCGCCATGAGACCCAGAGTCTGCATGATGGTCAAAGCTGTCACTGTTGCCCCCTGTCGCAGTCTGCAAACTGCCTGAAGCAGGGATGCCTGTCTGCTCTCTGACAGGGTGGCACGTAGTCTGCCTGCATCGAGCGAAAGCCCCAGATACTCAACCTGCTGGTGAGGTATGGGACTGCTCTTCTTCCAATTGACCGCAATCCACTTGGATCAATTGGGCTGTGTTTGCACCTTCCCTGGACCTGGCCATGACTATGAGGTCGCATTAGAAAACCCTCATGCCATGGTCGCGAAGCGGCTGAAGCGCTGTGGTCACACATTTGCTGAACGTGCTTGGGGATAGGGAGTAGCCAAACGATAGTCTGGACTCGTAGGCTACCCCCTGGAAGGCAAAACGCAACTACTTTCTGTGGTTTGGAGCAATTTTCGAGGTCGATGATTGTGAACCAATCGCCCGGCTGCCGTAGTTCCAGTAATTGGTTTACAGCCGGTAATGTGCTGATTCAGGCTGCGAAGATCCAGAATGCGTCTGAGTTCTCCTGTCTTCTTGGGAACCAGGAAGTACATGGAGTAATGCCCCTTTTCTCTGTCCTGAGAGTGCACAACAGACACAGCCTGTTTTTGCAACAGGGCCTGAATCTCCTCCTGGGATGATAGATTTGCCTGAATGGAGGAGGTACGCTGCAAAACTGGAGAGAGTACCCCAGTTTCAGTGTCCTGTCCATCCATTCTGTCAGTACACAGCTGAGCTTCCATTCCCCATAAAACTGTGTTAGGGGACCTGCAAGCAGCTGTGGAGTCGCAGCTAAGAAGCAGTAGCACTCTCTGGTGGCCCACTCCGCCGCCAAACCTTCCATAAAAGGAAGGTTGGCTCATGGGGGGCTGACACAGAAAGGGCCGATTTTCGACGGAGGTCCTTGAACGCACCGCGGCACACTCTCGGGGGGGGGCGCGCACCCCGTCATAGTGCCGTCTTCACACAGACGGTGAAATGCATCAATCGGAGCTATTACACTAGGCGAGGTGTGTTTTCTGACAACAACACGCCGGCCATAATGTCCCAGCACCCGCATAGCGCTTTGACAGCACTTCGTGCGGTTAATCACACTCACATGCGCGCACGCGCCCACTGGCTGCCTCCTTTACTGGAGTTACAACTGGGGCGGCGAGTGGGGAATTGTGTCTCATAATGGGTGCCCAATTAACATCGTATGAAACGGATCTTGCTGATTTCAACGAGACATTGTGGGGAAATGTGGAGAGAGATGACTCTTACTCTGGGATAAATGCAATCGTTTTTATTGAATACATTTTTCACACATTATCACTCTAGAACTAGGGTTACAATACGTAACCCACCGTTCTTGCAACAGGGCCTGAATTTCTGTTGAAAGGAAACCTATCTCCTCCTAGGATGATAGATTTGCCTCTCGTATGACCCTGAATGCAAATTCACAGTGGCAAAGGATGAGATCCACCCAGAAATGCTGAAGGCTCTGGGTGTTGAGGGACTATCATGGTTGACACGTCTCATCAACGTTGCGTGGAAGTCGGAAACAGTACCGAAGGAGTGGCAGACCGGGGTGGTGGTTCCCCTTTTCAAAAAGAGGGATCAGAGGGTGTGTGCCAATTACAGAGGCATCACACTACTCAGCCTCCCCGGGAAAGTTTACTCTAAGGTTCTCGAAAGGAGGGTCAGGCCGATTGTCGAACCTCAGATTGAGGAGGAACAATGCGGATTCCGTCCTGGTCGTGGAACGACGGATCAGCTTTTTACTCTCGCAAGGATCCTGGAGGGGGCCTGGGAGTACGCTTATCCGGTCTACATGTGTTTTGTAGACTTGGAGAAGGCCTATGACCGAGTTCCCAGGGAGTTACTGTGGGAGGTGCTGCAGGAGTATGGGGTGAGGGTGTCTCTACTCAGGGCCATCCAATCTCTGTACTTCCAAAGCGAGAGCTGTGTCCGGGTCCTCTGCAGTAAGTCGGACCCATTTCCGGTGAGGGTTGCCCTCCGCCAGGGCTGCGCGTTGTCACCAATCCTGTTTACAATATACATGGATCGGATTTTGAGGCGTAGTCGTGGGGGAGGGGGTCTGCATTTCGGTGGGCTAAGGATTGCACCACTGCTTTTTGCAGATGATGTGGTTCTAATGGCTTCATCGGTCTGCAACCTTCAGCACTCACTGGATCGGTTCTCAACCGAGTGTGAAGCAGCTGGGATGAGGATCAGCACCTCCAAATCTGAGGCTATGGTTCTCAGCAGGAAACCGATGGACTGTCCACTCCAAGTAGGGAATGAGTCCTTACCCCAAGTGAAGGAGTTCAAGTATCTCGGGGTCTTGTTCTCGAGTGAGGGAACAATGGAGCGTGAGATGGGCTGGAGAATCAGAGCAGCGGGAGCGGTACTGCAGTCGCTTTACCGCACTGTTGTGACGAAAAGAGAGCTGAGCCAGAAGAACCAAAAGAACGAGATCGCGGATACAAGCGGCCGAGATGGGTTTTCTCCGCAGGGTGGCTGGTGTCTCCCTTAGGGATAAGGTGAAAAGTTCAGTGATCCGGGAGGGACTCGGAGTTGAACCGCTCCTCCTTCGCGTCGAAAGGAGCCAGTTGAGGTGGTTCGGGCACCTAGTAAGGATGCCACCTGGGCACCTCCCTATAGGGAGGTGTTCCAGGCACGTCCAGCTGGGAAGAGACCAAGGGGTAGACCTAGGACCAGGTGGAGGGATTATATCTCTTCGCTGACCTGGGAGCGCCTTGGGATCCCCCAGTCAGAGCTGGTTGATGTGGCCAAGGAAAAGAACGTTTGGGGCTCTCTGCTGGAACTGCTACCCCCGCGACCCGACCACGGATAAGCGGGAGAAGATGGATGGATGGATGCCCCTGAATGGAGGAGGGACGCTGCAAAACTGGAGTGAGTAACCCAGTCTCAGTGTCCTGTCCATCCACTCTGTCAACACAGCTGAGCTTCCATTCCCCATAAAACTGTGTTAGGGGACATGCAAGCAGCTGTGGAGCCGCAGCTAAGAAGCTGTAGTACTCTCTGGTGGCCTACTCCGCTGCCAAACCTTCCATAAAAGGAAGTTTGGCCCATGGGGGCCTGACACAGAAAGTCCGATGTTCTACTGAGGTCCTTGAACACAAGTCATAATGCCGTCTCTTTGAAACCGACATTATGGGGAAATGTGGAATTCTGGAGAGAGATGACTCTTACTCTGGGATGAATGCAATTGTTTTTACTGAATGTATTTTTCACTAACACATCACTCTAGAACTAGGGTTACAATACGTAACCCACCGTTCTTCTGCGGAGGTCCTTGAACGCACCGTGGCCACTCTCACAGGGCCACGCGCCTTCGTATTAATGCTGTGTTTCACATTCAACGGTGAAATGCATTAATCGGAGCTATTACACCAGGCAAGGTGTGTTTTCTGACAACAGCACGCCGGCAATAGCGTCTTTTGAACCCGCACAGTGCTTTGACAGCACTTTCTGCGGTTTATTCCACTCACGTGCGCACGCCCACCTGCTGCTTCCTTTACTGGAGTTACAGCGGGCGGCGAGTGTGGGATAGTGTTCTGTCCTCTGAGGATGAGCAAGAAACAGCATACGCCAAGCTGCGACTACTCCTCATCCACGTGACCAAGGAAATTGATCCAAAGAGCCCTTCCATAGACACAGGGGCTCTGCCATCATGGTCATCACCAGGGGGAAGTCCTGGCGGACAGACCTGGGCATTGGACTTCCATAGACACCGGACCCGGAAGAAAAACAATTGAGTCATTGACTTTCTTCTTCAGGAAGAAGGGGCACATAAAGATCATGTCTGACATGGAATTTTGGTGTATGAAAATGCACCGTTTTGTTTATGGTGACTTCTGTCATGATGTGTTTGTAACCATACCACCCCCCGTGTCCCCTCAGGTTGACCATCCATGCCGAGTGCCCCATGCACCTGGAGGATTTCCCCATGGATGCACATGCCTGTCCTCTGAAATTCGGAAGTTGTAAGTCAGTCCAGATGGTCACATCAAAACAGACTTTGATATAAAATTGCACTGCGGAAACAATAGTGATTGTTCTCTGCAGGCGTTAGGAGCCTTTGCTGTCCTGAAAACACTTCAGAGGATTAAAGTGCACTCACCATTAGGAATACACTACTAAGGGAAGTTTTTCTTCTCACAATACAGTTAAAGTCAAGCACTGGCTAGAAGCCTGATTCCCCTTGATAACTTCCTTAGAACAATTCCCAAGAGTCTACAGCAGTGGTCACCAACCTTTTTAAGCCCAAGATCCCCGACCTCGGCCTTGGTGAAAGGCGAGATTGCAGAATTGAGTGAAAGACAGCCCACACAGTACTTCCAATTTGAGGCCTTTTATGTAGGCTAATTGCATCTGAATTACATAAAATAATTTGGTGCAACTTCCAATTTAATTAAACCAAGAACACAACATAACCATGTCAAAAAGGATAAATATATATATTTACATCATAGCTATTATTTTAAGTTTAATTAATTCCTTCATTACAATCCTAAATATAAATGTATAGCTTAATCCATTTGTTGCACTCTATAGTTAAAATACATAGTATATTGACGTTCTCCTGGTTCAACATAGATATTACATTGGGTTGGAATGTCATAATGTTTTGCCGTTATTTTGTGCTGATAAGTGATCTCTGTGTCGCACAGATGCTTACACCAATAATGAGGTGATCTACCTGTGGACTCAGGGAGACGAGAGGTCTGTGTCTGTGGCAGAGGACGGCTCCAGGCTCAACCAGTATGACTTACTGGGATATGTCATTGGCAAAGAAACCATCAGTTCCAGCACAGGTACGCTACATACTATTAGCTCAGAGAGCGAATTTAAATTAAATCTAATTTGGTGTGTTTTCAACCAATGGTTTGGTCCTAAAACAAATACACCATATTAAGCTTGTGCAGCTGCAGTGTGTTACACGTGTGAAGAGACTGGACAGCAGCAACATGTTCAAGCATCCTGGCACATCACATTCTATCTTGAATGGAGTATACAGCAGGCAGAAAACAAACTTAGTGTGTCTTGGGATGAAAATTCTTCCTTTGAAAAATAAACCCTTATCTGTGTGTTTACGTAACATCTGTGGTAAATTAAATTGCCTCCCTTTTTTCTATTGACATATACGGGCACTTTTTGTTTGTTTCCCTAAAGTAACAGTCTGCACTTTCTCCAGCGTCTGTCACTTTGGATTCAGCCTGCATTATTTGGGTCCAGTGAGAAAATGATGACTTCTAGGTTTTTGGGGATTATTCAGCATATTCACAAAGATAATATTAGGAGTTGTGCCAGAGGTGAACGTCTTCTTGCCTTTCTGTGTTGTGTTATAGCCCAGAATCAACCTCAATAAGCACAGTGTTAAAAAGGAAAGTCTGCCAGCCTATGCTCATGATCACCACCATAATTTGGTTTTAAATTCAAACTTAAAGCTTATGGTAAAATGAACATGAAGGGAGGAAAAAACAAGGTGGGCTGGGGACTGACATAGTAACAAAGAAGAAATTCACAGCAATTATCTGATAATACTGTAAGTGTTCAACCACAAGGTGCTTATATTGTTTATAAGGTGCCATTATAAAAAAGTTGTAAGTTGAAACCTAATAATGATAGATCAGTAGTTAACATCAATATCCAGATTTAGTTAACAGTGCAAAGGAAAATGTGCTGAAGGACTGATTACTGCAAAGCTATAGGCCGAGATAAAAGGTTGCTTCAGCGGGGCAGTTAGTAATTACTGAAAGAGTGCATAGCTGACGACTGAGCCACACTGGCTTTCCATTTTGAGAGATTTAACCTCTGTAGTGAAGCTGTTGAGGTAGAAAGTGTTTTGAAAGCTGTTGAAATAACAGCACTTGTAGAACTCTAGAGAGGACACTGTTCCTTGAGCTCATCGTTATTGCAGTGCTGTTATGTGGTTTAACCGTAAGTCAAGAGAATTGGAGAGGACCAACTCTGGCTACAAGTACAACGACAACAAATCTAAGGGAAGTCAACATGATTTCTTTCATAAACTGGGTTCAGCTTGTGGATTTGAAAAACAAAATCTAATTTCTTTAAAGTTCAAACCGAATGGGCTGCAGTGAGCCAAGGGGATGGGAGGATTTGAGCCAGTTCAGCTCTGATGAGAGTCTGCTCAGAAAGAAAGAACACCTGAGGGAATAAAAAAAGGCTGTTTTTCTCATATCTTTGCTACAAAAGATTATAGAGAAAGCCAGCTGGTGCTTAAGGGAACAATTGCCGTCATCAGTAATAACATCTTAGCTCCAGGAAATGCTCAATATCGAGACACGCACATGTTCTTCAAATCTGCAGCAAAGAGAACGGAATTGGAATATATCTATGCATTTAGAGGAATACTCCAATTAAAGATTTGAGATTCTTTGAGAATGAAGGGCTTGGCATTAGCTTGGGAAAAACGTTGTAAACTGCTCCTGGAGGATGAGAGACCTCCACAAAGGTTCAAGCAACTAGTATTCCAGTGCCGCCTTTCCAGCATTGACTTTTGAGTATTCCTTAAAAAGGCAGCATTATAACCAACATTCAACTGCGTATACCTCAGCATTTCCTACCTCACCCTTCAATTTATCTGACTGTGATGATGTCCGGAGAGATTTGTTGACATTTAGGTGTAACAGCCTTTTTTTTTTACAACCGTATGTTCCAAACCTCTAGGCTCCTTTTCCTATTAACATTTGTAACTCAACTCAGGGTTTTTCTCTGATATGAAATTCTCCTCTGTTTTCTCGTATATGAATAGTGCAGGTGCTGCTACTGTATGTCGTGACCTCTAACCGCTCTCCCAAAAGACCTCTGTATCCTCTCTATGAAAGCCTAAGCATGTTGCCATGTTGTTTCCATCCAATCAAATCGCACCCGCTTCTGCTGTTGAAAAGATGCGGGTTTAAATTGATGTTAAATAAAGGTCAGTTACTGTATGGGATTTTTTTAAATACAAGATGCCCATCAAAAGAACCTTTGGAATATATGTAACACATTGCGCAACACTTTCTATGTTTTCATATGGTTATAATAGCTCAAATAAAAAAAGGGCTGAAGACAATCCTATGAGCTACATGGATGATGCAAATGTTCTAACTTTAATAAATCTTACTTTAAATATTTCAGCTTGTGTTCCTCCCAACTGGGCAGAGCTGTATTAATAATAACCCTGTGTCTCTCTCCATCTCTTTCTTTGTTTCTCTCCTCTCCCTCAGGAGAATATGTAGTGATGACAACATATTTCCATTTGAAAAGGAAAATTGGCTATTTTGTGATTCAAACCTACCTCCCGTGCATCATGACTGTCATACTGTCTCAGGTCTCCTTCTGGCTAAACAGAGAATCGGTTCCTGCTCGCACTGTATTTGGTGAGTGCCGTCTTTTACAAAAATGCACTAAATGATTGATTGAACAGCTTAGACAAGTTGCTGGAGCTTTTGAATGATGAGGTAAGACGGAGAAAAACAAATGAGCGGAGCTGCATTTTGTTCACATCATCAGATGATTCAGCAAACTGCAAAACAAGTGGAGGGCTTGAAAAAAAGGTTCCCCTTGCAAAGCTCCAATTAACATAACGATGCACAAAACATAGCTTGGTGCATTAAGGTGCACTTGGGCATGAACGAGTAATTGGGGTTTTTCCAAAGCTTTTTATCAAGGTATTGAGTTCCTCCCTCTGTAGCTGCAAAAAACGAATAATTTAAAGATAATTCAAAGTGTGGCAGGTGATAGACGATGTGTTGCATCTCTTGAAGAGGATGCTGGACTCGTCTATATCAACAGCAGCCTGATGTCTTATTGCTCATACAGCTCTAGGTCTTTTAAAAAAGAATCTGCATCCGACAAACAGACATTCCCACCAAAGCGACCACAGACTCTTAACAAGGGTCAGATAACTTGTTTGCAGTGGTGGACAACATAAATGAGTTGGAAAGGAAATGGCAGGGGTTCATATCCTGACAATTTACAAAAGCAGGGTCCAATGCACAATAATTCCCAAACAAAAACAAAGCCTAACCGCAGTAACATCTCTCAAATAAGGAACAGACAGCTTTCAACAATAGCTCACATTTTAAATATCAGATCATGCATTTATGCATTTTTATCTCCCATCCCTGGTTTACCCATGTATTACTTATTTTTATCATAATGTCTTATTATAATTTTTGTGTACTTTTTTGTGTACTTTCCCTTTTCCCATCCTTTATGCATATTTCATCATATCAAACGTGCCATTTTTTACAGATTGCCCCTAAAACACTTGGTAATTGCAGTAATTCAAGTCACAGACAGCAACTGCAAGTTATGATAATTATACTACTTAGGCTACTCTAATTCTTATATATGTGTGTGTGTGTGTGTGTGTGTGTGTGTGTGTGTGTGTGTGTGTGTGTGTGTGTGTGTGTGTGTGTGTGTGTGTGTGTGTGTGTGTGTGTGTGTGTGTGTGTGTGTGTGTGTGTGTGTGTGTGTGTGTGTGTGTGTGTGTACAAAATGTGTCCCTTTTTTAATGAAAATACCAGAACATTTAAACAAATCCAACCTTTCGAAAAAGCTATTCTTTTTTTCAAAAAGGTGCATGTTATCCTCTCTTTGTGCCTTGATTAATAATAGATGCAATTTGTCCATCCAGCACCATTCACGTTGGGAACATTGAGTCCGCTTAGATCTGCCCGTACTCAGAGATGAAATGTAATTAGCCCTTCCCCTTCAAGTGTTGTTGTGCTGCATAATCTACGGGAGTGCCCCTTAACCCCTGTTTGTTGTATAACTTGCATTAGATTAAGAAATGAAGCACACGCTTTATACAGAGTAATAGGGGCCATTTTCCATCATGCCATGGAGGAAATAACACACACACCTAGAAGAACAGTTTTCCTTGAACTCACTTAGATTGTCCTCCACATGTGGAGAGAAGCTGTAATCAGTGTCATTTTTTCAGTGGAATGATTGAAGCGTTATCCGTGAAGGACACAGTTACCAGCAGTGTTCACATCTGTTTTACTCGTTCACACAGTCACATGTATCAGCTCAAATAAAGCTCTGCTGTGTAACCATCATCGACAAATACGATCCTTTATCCTTTCCCTTTTAAATTGTATTTTTAAGGAATGATACAATTGTATTTTTGAGTTATACCTTTAATTATTAATGCCCTCATTTGTTTTACAACCACCACAAAAAGTGATAGTTTACTAACTAATATAGACAAGATATGCAAAACACGCCACCAGAATATAAATAAAATCTGTCCTTTAAAGAAAGTGACTATCAATCTTTGCATCACATATTCTGATTTCTCAAGCATGACTCAGTGAAACGGGTACACCTCCCTGTTCCGAAACACAACGTTCATTTTCAGAGCCCACTTTATGTGTTGTCAGATGAGATAGGTTGGAACAGATGAAGTGATTGCTTTTATGTGTTTGGATGGGTGAACAGTCCGACCCACATTTCATCCCCTGCCTGCAGCACTATATGTACTGAATGTAAAGGCCGGGATGTCAAATGAGTTTTGTAGCTGGAGGTCTGTTTCCGCCAAAACTCGTGTTTTATAGCTATATTTGTTGCCAACCCTTGCACATAAACGACACGACAGAAGGCTTTCACTCAATGTATGCAGAGACAGAGCACATAGGTTTTTGCTGATTGCCAATACCAATACATCTAATAGCTAATATTATCAAGTGTCTTATTGAGTGGAATGTATATATTATTATTGAATGCCTACTGTTATCATCATGGGCCATTGACAGATGCAGACGTGACAAAGATGTTCAAAATGTATATATTCACTGTGCAAAAGATAATATGCAATATTTATACCCTTTACCCGTCTATATCAATGATGTGATAATAGCATTGTAAAAAGTTATCACATTTTTCAACTTGGGTCCTATTAAAAAGGGGGTGTCTCTTATCCATTGTGTGTTGCTGTGGATGTTTTTGGATTTGCAACTTCAATAGACACTTATTGTTTAAGGGTATTTTTTGCTAAGCGAAAATACAAATACATACAGTGTTTACGCACCATTGCATTTTGTTAGTGGCATGCATATCTATTTTCTGATTTCACATAATAGATGATGTTAAGTTCTGAAGTCCAGTTACATTTTCATTTGAACCACAAGAAAGATTTTATTAATTGAGCTAATTTGGATAATTCCAGCTTTTCTTAAGCTTCTTTTACTTGGACACGACACACAATGAAAGCATCATGGCAAAACCTTTGCAAAAACTGAACCCAATAATTAACTTTCCTTTAAGTGTTCTATTTACTAATGTTGTCATTTTATCCTCAGGGGTCACCACTGTCCTAACCATGACCACCCTGAGCATCAGTGCTAGAAACTCCCTCCCTAAGGTGGCCTATGCCACTGCCATGGACTGGTTCATGGCAGTGTGCTATGCCTTTGTCTTCTCTGCCTTGATTGAGTTTGCCACAGTCAACTACTTCACCAAGCGCAGCTGGGCATGGGATGGGAAAAAAGAGGGCATGGAAATAAGGGTGAGTGATTCTTATTTATATATACTTTTCTATGTTTTTTTTAATTTATTTAATAGATATGACACGACCACACTTTTTCTCCTGAACCAACATTAACAAACTAATGCATCATCCTAAAAAAGGAAATGTAACAGTTATACAGAGTTACTTTTCACTTGTGTTTCTGCAGATAAGTTGTTCTGTCTTTTGATTTGTTAACCCTGGTAACAACGTACTCAGTGAGTCTTCATTTAACAGTCGGGAAGTGACGTGGGCCAATTGCACTTTGGAAACAGTGATAGAAAGTCCCCTCCTTAAAGCAACCTGGAGTACTCTATAAATACTATAAAGAGAGTGTTTATTTATTCATTAACAGCCAAATGGAACAGGGACAGTAAGGCGAAACTGTGGGAGCAGAAGGAGAGGTAAACTCTTAGTTAGAGGAGGCTTCCTGACAAAACATGGCTCCTTTACATCTGGTCTGCACAAGTTGATTAGACAGTGTTTGTGGAGACACTAGTTAGTTACCTGAGGCTGAATACTGTGTCAATACTTTGGGCTGTTGGTGTTGTTCATAAAGGTCCGTGAGTGCAAATTGTCTTTTGACTCAATTCAAGGAAGGGTCTTATGTGGAGGACGCATTGGTCCAACAAGATGCCGTTCTCCAAAGCTATAATGAAGACACATGAATAAAACCTTTTAAGTCCCTCAGTGCTTACATTTAAAAGGATTTCTATGATGTTTTATAAGCTCACAAGTGTCATGAAACGGTATCAGAGCGGGCACTGAGAAGCGATGAACAAAATTAAATCACTTGGTGCTGTTATAGCTTCAAAAGGGCTCATTCTTTCTAGTATTGAAAGGAACAAATCAATTACTTTCTTATGTTCGTATGGCTAGCATGATTGACAGAATCAGGTGTTGGTAGCTGTGGTTTGATTGACAGTGCTGAGAAGTAGACTAGAGAATGTGTTTTCCTTCTGTCAAAAAATATAATACATGTCCTAAATAATAATGAATGGCCTGCCCAGATGTTTTTAGAGGTCAGTTACCTAGCAGAACCTCGCCTTAACCTAAGAAGACCTCAAAGAACAGCATAAAATTACAATTTATAAACCAGTGGGGTTTATAAAGTCACGCTGATTACTGAGAGAGCTTGAAAACACAGCCATATAAGATAGCAGTACAAACAATCAAATCAAAGGATGGTAGATATAAGCAAGACAAGTTGCTAATTGTAGATCTATTCTAAATATGATGAATGTATTCCTGTAATGTATCGGCACACATGAACAGAGGCAATATAGAAACTACATTAGAACAGTGGTCTCCCTGATTTGCTGTTATGCTTGTGTATATAAACTAGGGCCGGGACTCGATTAAAAAAATTAATCTAATTAATTAGAGGCTTTGTAATTAATTAATCGAAATTAATCGCATTTTTAATCACATATAAATATTTGACCTAAGAACAGTGAGAAGCAATTTTTTTCACATGGATTTTAGTATACCATTAGGCGCATTCACACCGCAGTACTTTTCCCACAAAGGTTCATGAGAACTTAATTCATGAGAACTCTTTGAACCTGGGGGTGGATTAGGCAAATGAAGCCGCTGACGTCACTTCTTCTTCTTCTGCATTGGGTTTACTGGCAGGCAGCAAACCACTTCACGGCGTATACTGCCGCCCAAAGTCCCCGGCCGGAAGTCCCCGGAGTTGGGGACTGGCTTCAGTAGAAGCTGCTGGGAGTCCCAGCAGCCTTCCGAGTAAATCGCCAGAACGCCGACACCTCCTCATCTCCACCGCTCCCATGTTTTATTTTGTGTTGCCATAAGTGAGTCTCTCTGCGTTTCTGCGCTGGGCTAATGCTAATGCTAATAATGCTAATGCGAGGATAATAAAATGGCGGCTTCACAAAACTTTTTGGGAGTTTACGGGGCGTGGTTTGCAATCCGCCCAGCCAATCAGAAATATAGCTCTTTTCTCACAAGAGAGCCGTACGAAAGTCCCTGCTCTCTAGCAGGGACTTTCGTGGGGGTAAAAAGGTTCTCGTGAACTAATTTTAGTACCGGCTCTTTTTGGTGTGAACGCGATAAAAGAGGCTAACGTCCACGCTAGCTGCTATATGTTTTGCATTGAGGTGATACTTGAGGCTTGATGTGCTGCGGTGATATGCGAATTCCTTTTTGCATAATTTGCACACAACCGTGCTCTTATCGACGCTTCCATCCGTCCGTTTTTTAAAACAACATTTCCCACTGTTGTTCACTATGGTTTGTTGTTGTCTGAAGTCATGAACGTTAGTTGGTGCTCCAGTATAATCGGTACGCCTGAAACTCATCCAGTGAGAAACGTTCCGCGGTGCAAAAATAAGTGCGATTAAAATGCGTTAATTTTTTTAACGCGTTAATTTTTGTGTAATTAATTAATCTTAATTAACGCGTTAAAGTCCCGGCCCTAATATAAACATGATGAAACATTCCTTTATTGTAAATAGTGCTGATCTAAAAGCTGCGGTTCTGATCCTGCAAGCACATAAAAGGCTACTTCTATCAGCCTCAGACACACACAAAAAAGAAAGAAACGTATTCATTTTACTGCCACAAATCTATTTTCTGCTACTAATGTACAAACTGTTTGACATAATCAGTACAGCTTTTTCCAGTTCCGTTTGTTTCCAGTCTGACATGTTGGTCCTCTGAGTGATTGGTAGAATTGTATATTGCTGCCTTGGAACATTTGAGTCGGTGAGGATAATTTGCAGCGTTATTTTGCAGCAGCAGAGTGGAGAGTTTTTATTTCCCCCCCCCTTCTGATGCCTCGTCTTAATGGCAACAGCCTGGGCTGCGTTCTCGGGGGCTGTGCTGAGCATGCAGTTGTCATGATAGATAAAAAAGAATGGGGTCACATGGCACTCCCATCACACTCCCCGCTAGAATGAGCTACAGGAAAGTAAAGGGATCAGACTACTGCATTTTCTCTTTTTGACATATATACACACACAATAAAAATAAAAAAGCCTATAGGAGGAGAACCTATAAGGAATAAGAGAAGTTTCAGCTCACTAAGTCATTTGGAAAATACTGTCCCCAGTTAGAGGCAGGGCTTCAGCCACCACCCTCACCGGAACAAAACGATGACTTCATCGCCCTCAGGCTCTTTCTTTTTTAGGACTGAAATGGTGAGCTGTAGACGTGTCGATGTGCAGTGAATTACTTGGCTGGTTATGGATTTTCAAAGCCATTTTCTCCCTCCTTTGTCGCCCAACGTTCTGTTTGACAAGCAATCTACCTAATTAAAGCCCTCTTGCCGGCTGAAGGTGTGGATATTACAGAAATTAGCCGGTGGGGAGTTGGAACGAAAGCCATCGTGTCCTCGGCACTCTGCGACACATGATTGGACGGTGTAGGATATTATAGGCTGGTTCCATCAGCAGCAGAGGCAGGAGCATGGGCTCATTGTGCAGGGGGTTTTAATGCTTGCCTCACACCTGCAGCACAAATCAATTCATATTCAGACATTTCAACACAATAGTTTGTTTGGAAATGGCGGGGACACAGCCTGTAATTATCATTCCTAGCTGTGACATTTCAGCATGACGCTGCTGCTGCTGCACTTTTCGAAGCGACAAGCAAAGCTCAACCAAAGTTTTTGCTGTAGTTATATGGAAATTCAGAGAACAAAAACAAACCAAGGCTGCCATTTCTCAAGACCTGTTGTAATTCTTTTTATACGTTTTTCAAATCCTTTTTGTTTGAGCTGGAGTTGTCAGCTACATTTATGCATTGCACAATAACTTACTGTCTGGCAAGCACTCTCCGACTGCTGTGACTAGTTGCCCAACAATTCATCGAAAATGTATACCGATCATGATTTTGACTTCCCACAACTCAGTAAACACGACGGTCCTCGCCATTGACGTTTTAAATGCATGCTCCGATTATAGAAAACGTATGTTCAGGTGAATAAGAACCCAATTTCAAATATTATATTTATGCAAAGAGTTGTTTATGCTGCCAGATTTGCAAAACTTTGATGGTACATAACACTAAACACACACACCAACAGGAAAAGGGACAACATTGTGGCTCCACCCAGTCTGCACACTCAGCCACCCACATGCTCACATGAGGTCATTAAAACCACCAACACCCCATCTCCAAATGTAGTCAGGAACTGACTGTCACAAGGTTCAGTTACACACACACATGCACACGCTGAGTTTCAAACAGCAGGACACACAGTGAGGCATAATTGCCCCCAGGCTACTTAATCAGACTCTCAGACATTCTGATTCAACAATTTGCAGAAGTTACAAAGACAAGGTCAATAGATGCATTGTATTCATGGGGTTATTTGTGCCTGCAGCTAGCCAAATGACTTTGAATATCATGCAAGAATCTTTGGCCGGAGCTAAATAATGTGCTGTGTCACATTAGGTTTATAACAACATGGACATAGCCCATACCACACATGGTTTACCCAACAATTAGACCATATCACTGACTGCGAGGACAGCTCAGACAAATAGAGAATGAAAAACACTTTCCCTGGCTTCTTTGTCAGCTAACAAATAAAGGACATAATGCCTTCAGAGTTGAGGGGGCAATGATTAAGGTCATAGAGTACTATAGCGGCAATTCACCTTTCCTGCTGATGTCAGCCATCGCCATGATAGAGGATACTTCTAGTGGCGTTGGAAGTGGAGGGATTGATATCCTGGGAAAGTATCTGGCTACCCAAGGGGAATCAGTGTGACTCTTTCTCTCTCTGTACTAATTGACTTGAGATAGACCGCCTTCAGGCAGCGGCTCGACATTTCTCTGTTTAATGCAATCAACTGTCTGACTGCACGCTTTGTTAAGCTCTTTACAACCCTTGCTGTTTTTGCAGAGGAGCTTGAAGGATCATCCTTCTTCTTTTCTCCAGCTCACTTGAAGAGGAAACACTGATCACACTTCCCCTCACTGCAGCCGTGTCCATCACCTCGGACAGAAGCTTAACAGCAACTTGATAACATCATTGTGATGTCAACTGCTAATATAAGCCCACTGCTTGTCACATGTGACATTAAAAGTGGTCTTTCTATGTCTTATTGGTCTATTCAATGAACAAACATATAGCTTCTTCTAACATAAAGCCATTTGTATGCATCCATTTAGGAGGTTTTGAGAAAATTCAGGATAAAGACCCAACAAAACATTTGGTGAAGAGCTGTGTACAGAAAGACATGCACCGTGAAGCATTTTGGAAGAGGGGGAAAGAGGGGACATTAGTTATGCTAATTTAAAGAGATGGAGTCGACGGAAAAGGAAGGAAAATTAAATGAAGCTGAAAAAGTAGAGCAGAAATTAAAGCTGGGCTCAAAGCTAAAGTTAAAACAGGGAGCATTCAGAGAAGAAAGCACTCTGTTACGTGACACACAGTGCTTTAGTTTTGCTGCAGATCTTAAAGTGGCCACAGTGGGAATGAATGGTGTGAAGAAAATTACTCCAGTACAGGCTCACACAGGAAACTAAAACAGTGCCCGGTGATCAATCTTGGTGCCCTACTTGTTCTCTCCTGTACTAATTTTAGGCTGACAGGATCCTCCTGTGATGCAAGTTTCGCCATCTCAGTGTACAGATTTTGCAAATAAATTCTGTCTCCCTGTGCGATTTCAATATGAAAGACAGTCTAAAGTGTCTCTCTACTAGAAGGAAGAAAGCAGTTTCTCCAGCCAGCTTTTTATCACACACAGCCATAGTTGCTTTTTTTAATCACAAGCTGTTTGCCTCAAGAGGCCTGGCTGAATGCATTGATACAGTTTGTCAGAAATGTTTTAGGCACTGTTATTGTTGCATTGTTTCCATCCAGCTCTGTGCTGCCAATGCTACTGTTAGCAGTATCAGACAGAAGTCCAGCCATAGCTCTGCATTGATGCAGAAATATGATTGTTCCTATTTTTGACTCTTATTTTAACTAGTCTTGACATTTGTCGTGAGTAGGGATGTAACGATATATCGAATATCGTGATATCGCGGTAAATAAATGTCTCAATACAAAATATACCGCGATTTTCTTTTTTTAAATAATTTTTTTTTTTAAACCTTTATTCAACCAGGTGGTCCCATTGAGATCATCAATCTCTTTTTCAAGGGAGACCTGTCCAACATGGCAGTAAATAGGTTACAACATGAACATAAAACAACAGATAACAATAAAGGACATCGTATTTACAGGGCTACATGTACATACCTAGAGACATTGACAAGTACCAACAGTATACTTATATCTCGCCCTGTCAATAAGCCTCAGCTTCTTGGCAAAAACTGTATTGTTTTTGAAGTGGTGGAGAGACAATGCACAGTTTTACCCACTGCTGTTACCCATGGCCAAAACATATCTCTCCGTCCCAGCAACATCAGTACCAAGCAAGAGAGGTTTTTCCACAGCAGGGGATATTGTAAACACCCAAACATCCCAGCTTCTACCTCGAAATGTGGACATGCTCATATTCCTAAAAGATAACCTTGATGATGCTGAGTGAGTGAGTGAGTGAGTGAGTGAGTGAGTGAGTGAGTGAGTGAGTGAGTGAGTGAGTGAGTTAGAGTTGAGTTACTTGAAAAACTAAAGTGAAACTTGATTTATTCTATTGCAGGGTCTGATTATTATATTTTTGACACTTTAAAATACTACTATCCTACTAAAATGCTGTACAAATCAGATTTATTATCTAATAAAGAAAAAAAATTCAAGTAAAAAAAAAAAGAAATCACTTTTTTCTTTATTTTTCAATATCGCGATAAATATCGTACCGTGGACTTTTTATCGCGATATTATCGTACCGTGAGTTTTTGGTATCGTTACATCCCTAGTCGTGAGTTATGATCATGACAGGGTTTTTTTTGCAATCCAGATTTGTATGATGCAGATTAGAATTGACCATATTAATAGTGTAAAATGTTCAAAGTACTTCCAGCTAGATAGTGATGAATAGAGTATGTAAGTTGGGTAATTTTAATATAATTGGTAAACTTTTTTTCTTTTCTACTTTTCTTTTCAGGAACCGTTTCAGGCTAACATGGCCAGGATTAACGATATGGTTAGGCTTTTGTTTTGTTCTTGTGTGTGTCGTGTCTCGTGGTGTTGCTTCTATTTCCTCTTTATGAGTTCAAATGGAAGTATTGTTGAGTCTGGTGCTTCGCTCCTGACAACCTTTACCTTTATTGCCTTTTTTCATTTCAGAGAAGAGAATCTGCTACATTGTCCAAAAAAGCAAACAACACATTCAACATTGTTGGATCCACCTACGCCATCAACGTGGCTAAAGACCAAGGTTTAACGACCGTTTCCAAGAGTGCCACTCCAGTCCCCACCAGACACTCCTACCTCCAGGATGACCCTTACGAGGAGGCCAAGAAGTCATACAACCGTGTCAGCAAAGTGGACAAGATATCGCGCATCATTTTCCCAGTTCTGTTCTTCATCTTCAACTTAGGCTACTGGGCCACATATGTCAACAGAAAGCCCGCTATGATGAAAGCAAACAACTTAAACTGAATTTGACCAAATGCTGGGCTTGATCTGGTTTTGTTTTGAGGGTAGACAGGTTTGCAGGAGGCCAAGTTCATCACATCTTATTGTGTGTGTATGTGTGTGCGCCTGTTTCGTGCATCTGTTTTTTCTTAAGAGTTTGATATTTTGCACGTCTGTTTAGATGGAAGGCACATTTAAACAACAGTAGATTCACATATAGTAGTGGACGTTGGAGGGAGCACATTTCAGACTGTGTTTGTGTCATTTATTTTTTCTCCCCTCCTCACTTATCTCTGGCCCTGTTCCCTGTTGTGAGTAACCCAGTGTCCCATCGCTGTATCCTGATTGCTTGCCGTTTTGTAGAGTAGTCAAATTGTGTTTTCACTATGTTTTGAAATGTTTGCGCTTTGCTTATAATAAGTTAGAGCAAGCATGCATTTGAAGTTTTCATTGTAGCTCATTACCAATGATAAGGTTTTGACATATCCATCAAGTTAACAACATGCATGCACGCACACAGACACAGTTATCGTCAGAAAAACGCCAGAAGAGCCATTCGTTGGTTGCCCTGCCCTGCTCTGTTAGCCGGGGGCAGCCTGTATAGTTCCATAGGAACATAATTAATAATCGTCAGGGTCTGGCCTTCAGCTCATGCTGAATCTTAACAGACCCAATGCAGTATCATCTGGAATTGCTATTGTGTCCCACGAGGCTGCCTGTACATTTTCTAGTCCAGTGGCTCTTATTGTTTTAACTGGCCGAGTATGCTCAATGACAAAGAAGCTATGTGCCTTGGTGAATACACACATCATAAAGTATAAAAGGCTTTGACACGCTCACATTTGCATTAACAGCACACATATGCACAACGGTCTGTGTGTATTTTACATGCAAACATTTACTGGTGTCCACAGGCACACACTCACCTACGGCCCATGGGCACAGAGTGTAAAATTGCCCATTAGTGTGGAAGGTTAACAGACCTCTGCCTGTGAAAATATGAAGATATTAAGGGATCCAGCGTAGTCTATAACAATTACCATGTGCATTTATGTTTTGGCTCACACTGTGAGCCAGGCAGTCATAACAAACTACCACCATTACCTCAGACTGAAGTGGGATTCTGAATCGCAGTTTGTTATATGTTTTCCATGGAAATACAAATAACATTAGATGTTTTATACATTAAAACATACCAGACCCTATTTATTTCATGTACATTGTGGGCACGCACCCTGGTGCTTTTATTTCTTTGTTTTCTCTGCATCAGTGTTTTTGGCTCCATTATAATCTTTCCGCATTGTCATAAGAATATTTTTGATTCATGTTGTACTTTAGCCCTTTTATGCTTGATTGTGTAAAGTATTGGTGTTTATTTGATTATCTACATATGATGTACTCTTTTTGTGTTTTGAAGTAGACAACAAATGCCAATATGTCACAGTCATACAGTATTTCTAAACATATTTCAGAGACATTCTCCTCACTGCAAAGAAAAAACTGTGAAATTGGTCAACACAATTGAAATACAACTAAATGTAAGTTTTGTCATTACATTGTTATGTAAAATTGCTTTTAACAATTGGTGGTTTCAAAATGTAAGATGAAATGTGTCTCCAGCTGTGGTATCTGTCTCCAACTTTTATTTTATTTTTCTTAAATAACATCTGTATTTTTTGTTTTGTGTTGAACTTGTGTTTAAAACAGGCCTTATATTATTCTTAAGCTATTTCTGTTGGTGTTATCCCGGATGCACTCTGGATATTTAGCATTGTCTCAATTATAGACTCTTTGATGACCACTACATTAACTGTTCTTAAGTGGTAAGCAGAATGAGTGAACTATAATAATAATAATAACCTCTTTAAAAAAGGTGTAACAAAACATGTACAATGTAACAGTATAGGTTAATGCATGACAATCTGTACACGTGTATGTCTGCAACCTCCAGTAATGGTGTTTGTCACACTGAAATAGGGCTTAGTATCAGTGTTTCTGTAGTTCATCCCAGTTAGTCATCAATTACATTACATTACATTACATGTCACTTGTTAGACGCTTTTATCCAAAGCGACTTACATACTCAATACTGTGGGCAATCCCCACAGGAGCAATTTGGGGTGAAGTGTCTTGCCCAGGGACACAACGACATGCTGACTGCAGTGGGGTTTGAACCTGTGACCTCCTGATCCGAATACCAACTCACAACCCACTGCACCACACGCCTCCCTTAATTACCTACTCATAACCTCAGCCTCATCTGCATAAACACATTTAAAGTCCAATTATGTGTGCATATTGATGTGATGCTAATCATTTAAGGCTGGCACAGACTTCTGAAAGTGTTTTACCCTCGTTTGGTTGCACACAGATTTTAGGCTTAGTTATGTACACTACCACACACAGAACTGGCTCTACATCCATATCAGTTACAAACGTTAAAATACAAATTCAGTTTGCATTAAGTATGGCAATGTGTTTTCAAACTAGTAGAGGATATTTTAACCATTACATCCAATTAAAACCCATTAGGATAATTCAGCCCTTAGAATATTGTTCACCCTTTACCGACTTGCATCAAAAATTGGACTGTAAACATCTCCTGGTAAACCATTTTCATATTCAAAAGAAAAACACAGGCACAAACTGACTAGACTGACATGATAAATCATGAAGCCATAAACTCTGAATGGGATTTTTGAGGTGCTCATACAATTGTTATAGTCATATCAAATTCATAATGTGTTTAATGGCCTTTCTAAATACTTAACAGAATTCAGACATCATGCTGCTGACACAGAATGACTTTCTGAATACAGTATATTTCATGAATTGATGGATTCATGTCGCAAAACAGTGATACACATCTGCTGAGTGTTTAAAGGCGAATGTCTGCTGCTATTTCAGGGTCTAATGACACAAGAGCATTAATGTTAATGTATAATTCTCTGAGTACTGTTATCGAGATACTGTAGGTAAGTGAGAAGCAGCAGCTGCTAAACATCTCAGAAATAATATAACCAAGAGGACCACACAGCTTGAGTCATTTGACATAATCAGTAACTTGTTTGTGGGGACCAAAGAAACGGTTGCACTGCATGTGTGGTATGACTGTTCAGTACTGTAAAAGGGATCTAAATTCATTTCAACCACATTGTTAACGGAATGTTGTGGGTAACTCATGAAATCCGCATGAAAATATAGCCTTGACACAAAACTAAGGACCAAAATACATATAGGACGGCAAAAGTGTGATCTTTGTCAATATTTACTGCCGTTTCTTCACTTTCTCCATCACTGAGGAATGATCAAAAATGGTTTACCGGGAGATAAATGATGTGAATGTAATCTTTCCTACTCATTATGCTGTATGATAAACCCACAGGTCTTTGCGTCATACGATCACTTCAAGCCATTTGCCTACATTTTTAGCACAACACAATATGCAGGATAACTTTCTTTATTCACACATCTTGGTAGCAAAAAAAGGGGGGGGGGGAACACTTCTAGAGCCTCAACCAAATCATGTGCCCTCTCCAGGGCTCTCTCTTCTCTCTTTCCTCAAACTGATAACTGAATGGCCATAGCAGACAAACATGCAGTAGTGCAATAATTAGGGATGATTGATCAAGTTTAAAAAGAAAATAATGAAACAGTATTTTGATGCATGCATAACTGGCACATAAGGTCAAGTGGTATTTCAGGAATGATTTTATAATTGTTGTTGGTTAGGGGTTTGATAAGAAGGACTGCTATATTGTTGCTATTGGTTTGGTTATGATTGTGTTATGTGTGTGGTAAATCCTTTCCTCACAGGGTCGGAGTTAATTTCAGTAGAAATATGTCATCCTATAAGAAACAGTATATTAAGAGTATATTACTATATGAATCTATTTATGCTATCCAGTACAGCATTAAATATTATGTTTCATACGACATAACCTTTACAGCATTGATGAAAATCTCTTGATGGGTAGAAAGCAGTAGAAATAGATTAACTGAACATAATATTATAAACTAAAATGGCAACAATTCTAAATGCTCAGAATAGTGAATTTGTAGATATTGTGAAATCAATTCCAATAGTTTATGTGAATATTGATATGTCACGTGATTTATTTTTACATCTGATAGGTACCGCTGTCTTACGTTGCGCTCTGTAACACTACATGTTATGGTATTTTAAAGACGTACAGTAGAGATAATATTCATCAAATTACTATCTGTACCCTGTGTACACTTTTCAAACCCTACTGTGAATTAGCAGCTGTCTGCAAGCAGAGTTGTACACACTGTGTTCTCTCTCCAGCAATTTCACTGCATGTCCCTACGCATTGAGAGATCAAAGACTCCCTCCACAAAGACAGCTCCGGGAACATAGTGGACTTAGTGTTTTTGTCGGGAAGTTGCTCTCTATATGCTCAGTGACTGGACTCTGTATGTTGCCCTCGTCATGTTCTTACTGTATGAGATGTAGCAAATGCAAATGGGGATTAAAAGGACATTGTATTTTCTCTCGGGAGTTATGAAGACCCTTCTTGGACACATTTTCAACAAGGGGTGGACTCATCCAATGTTCCTTTAGAGGCTCATTTTAATAGTACATTTGTGTGTTTCTTTGTGTCACTGTTTGGTCTATGCATGCAAGTTGTTCTGTTTGTGCGGTGATTACAATTAGATTTTTTAAGGATAAAATCCATCAGGACAGTTCAAGGAGATCCTGCAGGGAACTATACATGTTGCAAGCATGCAAGCATTCAAATCAAAGCATAGCCAATAACATGTCCCTGTAAAGTGTGATATCAACACAAGCAATTCATATAGGGTCAACACATTCTCACTCCCAACTCGGCCTATGTTGACGTTATGTCAGGGTCCCTGTCGTCACTTTCCAACGCAAGGGGGCCCTTTAGCATCGAGTTTCAAATATCAGGGCGTCCCATTGACTTGCATAGAGATCCCTGAACGTTGGTAATAGACGAGTTGGGATCGCGGCAAAATAATCTCCGCAGACCCATTCCCACAGCGTTTATCAACCTTTTTCTTACTCAATATCAAGCCAAACTTATTGTTTTTACTTCTTTATTTTAATTGAATAATGTAGGACTTTTGTTGCCGTCAATTATGGGGAGAGTAGGGGCTCAGAATACTGAAATCTGTATTGTTTCATCGTTTTTTCCTTCTAATTTTGTATTCTTTATTACCCCGTCCACCCCTCCCCCACCCCGTCCCCAGAACTACACATGCTGGCTATTGTGTGTTTTGCAACATGTTCTATGGCACGTCTCTACTGGGAGTTGTAGTTTTAAAAGACGTTTTCGTATTTCCCATAATAAGAAGTTGCAAGTATTAAACTGTGTACATCCCTGGAGGTTTAGGGGATAGGAAACACTCAAATTTAAAACATATAATTAATAAATGTGTGAAAATTGCTTGTGTCCATAATGGGCAGCATTAATATATACCCACATGCCAGCTAAGGTCAGAAGAGCTTTATTTAACAGCTGGTCTTATGTCTGTGACCCTTCCTGTTGTTCATTGATAAGCCTGAAACATGCACTTGTCAAGGTTCAGAGGCAAATTTTGCAAATATGGCAGTAGCCATCGATCATCTTAAGATAAGATATACTTTATTGATCCCAAGTTGGAAACATTTGCGTTACATCAGCATGTGTAACAGTTGTAAATATGCAGTGGTGTTTATTTGTAAATCATTTAGTATAATCACACAAATTCTGTGTTTTATATTTAATAATTCTGTGTTCTTTATTTAATGAATGTTCAATACCTGACTAGGTCGGAGATGAAAAACTTGGGTCGCAGGTTCCTCAACAGTGCATTACAAGACATCTATCAATATGTGTGTATACCTCCACCATTAAACTGTCATATTCTGCACATTTCTTATACTATCTACATACATCTTATAAGAGTATAATACATATGTATAATATCAGTTAAAAATAATTGTTTAAACATACAGTAGTTAACATTGCAGGAAAGCAATATATTAGTACTTTGTCAGGCTATTCAAAATAAGACCTTAACCTAAAGTATTCTTTAATGTTTAAATAAAGCCTTATTAGTTTGTCTGTCTGTGTCTACTATTAATATCTAATAATAAAAATAATACATTTCAATAACATGCTTTAACCACCAGGTGTCCCTTTCTATCAGCTGTGCACCGTTATGGTGTAAATATAGCCTATCTACCAATTGGATCAAATATAAAAGTCAGCCGAATTAGTATTGATACTGCAAGGAGACGTATATTGTGAAGAGAAATTGAAGATGTTGTTTAATTGCTGATATATTTATGATCCACGTCACATATTCAGTTTTGGCGGCAGTTGTTCCAGTTTGTCTAGAAGTCTTCTCATCAGGGCACTATAAATAAAGAACTACGGCAGATGTGTAATATTTAATGCAGCCGAACCGTGTATTACAATGCCGTTATGTGATGACTTCCAAAGAGAAAAGCAAGCACACTCGGAATAAAGTATTATTTATTTTCTTAAATGTTTTCGGATTTCACATCACATAAACACCATATCCCAGCGTGCATTGCTGCTAAACCATCCAATCACAGAGCTTGAGGACTCATCACGGGGTTTGAGCAAAGCGGAGAGAATACTTACTTCCGGGTGTAAAATTCTCTTAAGCAACTACTATGAGCTGCTCCGACCCTCGGTCCTGACAGACTCCAAAAGTCCGACATTATACAATCAAACAAATAAATAAACACAAGGATAATTGTGTGTTATTGTTGAGTAAATAACAGTGTGTGGTTTAGAAAAGAATACAAAATTAGAAGGAAAAAACGATTAAACAATACAGATTTCAGTATTCTGAGCCCCTACTCTCCCCTCTCTGGAAAGTGACGACAGGAACCCTGACATAACGTCAACATAGGCCGAGTTGGGAGTGAGAATGTGTTGATAGGATGGACATTAACCATAGAGCAGGTTAAACAGCCAAGGGAAAAATGAAAGCTTAAGATGTACAGTTTAGAAACACACCATTTGTATGTCTTACTAATGCTTTTGGTTTCTGAAATGACTTTAAAAGTATGTTCATGGTAATTATTTGACTAATTGAGTTATCCTATGACAACTCTCATGTTGTCAGAAAAGTGATGTAAACATGTTTTAAGGATGCACTAAGGAACCTTTGGCCAGAAGGAGCTGCAACAATTTGCTGATTTCAATTCAATAATTATTACGCATTACAAGGTTACAGCAAATCCTCAAACCCTTCGTTGTGAGAAAAGTGCCAAAAATTGCCCAAGAAGCTTTAGTTTTCAAAACAGGAATAATATTAATAGCTAAACAGGAGATTTACAAACGACAATACAATACAAGGAGATCAAAGAATCATAACAAAATAAATCTTCCTGAGTCTGTATGGAGCAATGAACAAGGCAGAGGGCTTTCAGGGTGAACATTACAGAGAGTTCCCAATCAACAGTGCTGCGCTACTGTCTACAGACTCTGAAGGTTACTGTTGCTGTTTGGCTGCGGTCCAGTCCTCTCTGCCCTGTAGGTGCCATCAACTGCACAGAAATGCCATTATATTTAACACTGAAGAAGCACCTCATTTTTCTCAGTACTCCTGGGGAAATGAGCTCTCTAAAGCCCCCACATGGTCATATAAAGGTTGTTTGCTTGCTTATGCTTGCTATGATAAATGAAACAATCCATTATACATTTAGTGGCTGTCGTCATACCAGCTCTAGCATATAGTGCTTTGTGTTTGTGAGCTGCACCACTGTTGTGCTAATCTCCCTGATCTCAAACGTAGAATCAGTACGCACATTTGAGAATTGAATCACAATAAGACATGCACACATTCATTTTTAATGAAGGCGAAGGCCATGCTCTACAGGGATAATAGCTCTATTAGCATAACATGCAGGATAGAATGTGAATTCTCCAACACAAATCAATTGGTTTGGTTTGTAGCAGATGGTTATTAAGTCCTATTCCTATAACAAAATGCGAGAATTAAAGAAAAACAAGGTCACACAAAATTATTAAAGTGATATCATAATTATAGTTTATGAAGATAGAGGGAACCTATGCAACAAAAACTAATGCAATAATAACCACAAATGAACAAATATGTTTTGTTACATATTGCAAGATCCTAACATCACAGGATGCTAGCTCTTATTTCCACAACAATGCCAAGTTATGTTAATCATTCATGAATGGGAAAAAATCTTAAGCAACTGTTTGTGTGTAATTTGCACAAATTGTATTAACTCATTACCCAAGTTATTATGATAAGCGAATAAATCCAAACTCTTAACATGCAAATAGTGGGCTATTGTAACAAAAAGTAAAACAAAACGTATGAGGGTGATGTACGGGGCGATCCTGTCAGATTACTCTCGTTATTACCCGTTATTTTCAACCTTTTCTAAATCATCATTTAAAAAATGTCTGAATTTCTTTTACCAAGGTTTATGTCTGAGGCTACAGACAAACTGTTCCCATCCCGCTGTACAATAATTGCTGTTCTTTACAGTGAATACAGATAAATTGCTTTCACGTTGCTGTTAGTGTTTGGTGAAATACACAACTGATTTACATTAATGAAAGACATTACAGAGAACAGTGCAGCCCAAATACTATGGAATGCCATTTAAGCCAATATTAAATAAATAAATATATACATAAATAATTAAATAAATACATATATATATAAATATGCCTATGAAATAAATTATAAAATAAATAAATTAGGCAATAAATATGTATACATGTACATTTAAATACACATTTATTTATTTCATGGGGCTTTTATTTCATAATGACACATTTATTTATTTCAAGAGACTTGTATTTCATAATGACACATTTATTTATTTAAAGAGACTCGTATTTCATAATGACATATTTATTTATTTCAGATGACTTGTATTTCATAATGACGCGTTTCTTTATTTCAAGAGACTCGTATTTCATAATGGCTTATTTCATGTGACTTGTATTTCATGATGGCTTATTTCATGTGACTTGTATTTCATGATGAGACATTTCCATTCCTTATATGCAAATGAACGGAGCGTGGTTAGCTCACAGGTCCAGAGACCCAGACCAAAGCAACAGCACCACACTGACTACTCGAGAAGAGGAAGAAAATGGAGGAGAAGGACTATAAGGCAAACTACTAAATGAAAATAACAACATGGAAGACGTCGGTGGGCTCCAAGACTTAACTGGTTCTTATCTGGTCTTCTCTGGTCTTATCTGGTCCGCCCAATGCTGCTCTTCTGAGAGCAACCGCTCTGACAGCTCTCTCTAGTCTCTACTGGGAAACAGCTAAAAGTCCTTCTGGAGGTAAGCAACGCTACACAATTACACCCAGTCTGAGAGTAAAATATGTCTCGAAGGTTCGTTTTGCTTTCTTACAACGTTAAGTTAATGTTAACGTAACCTTACTAGGAGGCTATCGTTACGAGCTAGCTGTCTTAGCTAACAACAGTTAGCAGCTAACGTTTTCTGCAGTT